AAAAACCCCCCCCCCCCCCCCCCCCCCCCCTTCCTCCAAGATACAATTTAGTTCCAGAGGCTTTTTTCCTTTCCTGTGTAGTACTGGCTATGTGCCACAAGTAAAGACAGACTGGAGGCAAGGCATGCCTATACCATTTCATGTTTCTCGTTAGTGATACCTATAATTTGCTCCCAGTTAAACTGACAGACAGATTACTTAGAGACAGGGCTTGGTGACTCGCCTAGTCCTTTATCAGCCTCATGTTCCTATATGACAGACACATCCAACAGTTGTGCAGTTCTCGAGCTGCTCTTCTTGTAGACCCTGTGTGATAACCTAGTAACACAGAAAACAGTGCTGGTTATTCCTGCTCCTAGCTGGTGTGTTTTGGGGTTCCTGCCATTGGGGCTGCCTATGAGAGATGCCTAACTCATCTGTTGGGTCTACTTTTGTCCACAGGGAGCCAGGCCTGATGGTCTGAATAGCTCCTCAGCTGTCTCGAGCCTAGACCATGTAGAAGTATCAGTGTCCACAGTGCCTCAAGAGAACATCTAAGACCATCCTGGCTTCAGAAGTCATTGCTTCTGTGCATTAAACTTTCTTTGGAGAAAGAAAGTATTGGAAAGGGGTTCCTATCAGAGAAACCAGGATGAATCTAGACATCTTTGACTTCTTGTGACTTTGTCTTTTGTTGATGCCAGGCTGATTCTTTGTAAATCCAAGCTGGAGGCTTTCCTGGCTTTTTCTAGATTCAGGAAGATCTTTTAACTAACTTCAAAAACAACCAAGCAGTTTTCTAAAGCAGTGGGCATGAGGTATTCCCCCACTGCAGACAGCTTGGGAGTATTCACCTCTGAAATATGTGACTCTAAGAAAAAGAACTCACCAGCGGTGGATGAGACATGAGTGGAACAAGGCCTATTATTTCTGTCCTGCATTTTCTTTCCCCTTTAGTTTCTGTCTGTTTCTGCTTCCAACCCTTTCATGTCTTTTGGGGAAAATCTGCTGAATTTTATTAGCAATTATCCTTGAGAAGCCCAGAGTAATTGTCCTAATTTATTAAAGGTGGGTTGTGTAGGAAGCTTTAGAGCTGGAGGCCATCGGGCACAGGACAGATAAAACCAACTCTCCCGAGTGTGAAAGGAGGCTGGTAACTTTTAGGCCAGCAGCGCTCCCAGGCACCGGCAGACAGTCGGGCGGATTACAGGGGAAGCAGAGGAAATGGAAAGCTCTTTGGTTTGGCATTTCCTTAGTGTTTGATCTGAATTGGTTTAAAATACAGGCTTGCGGTGTCAGCCGTTCCTGTTTAGAGGCTGTCCCAAAAGCACTTCGCGTGCCTTTTTGAAGAGGAGTAAGTGCTGTCTCTGAATGAGCCAGACCCACTGCTCCAGGCTGCCCGGTGACAGGGCCTGCGCCCGGAGATACCTAAATGCACCTCCGAGGCTTTTATGCAGAGGCAAAAAAAGGTTCATAAGCTATGCAGGATCAAAGACGGCAACCTGACGGGCTGTGGGCATGCACCTTGTAAGTTGTGTGGGGCAAGAGAGACTGTCTGGGCCCAAGCCCCAGGCCTCGCGGCCCCACCGGCATCGCCAAGCTGCGCTGGAAGTGCCTGAGCCCAGCCTTGCTACAGAGGGGTTCCCTGACGGGGCTTATGTGCCTGAAAACCACACTTACATCCCCAAAACAGCCGCTCTTTCTAGCATCCCTTGTGTCCAGAGCACCTTCCCGGAAAACTTTTTTTTCTTTTTTGTTTTAAACAGGACTATGATATTTTTAGACAAGAAAGAAATGGCCGACGTGTCGGCGAAGTTAGCAGCGGCCAGGATTCACCTTGCCAAGGCGTACTCTAACCTGGTCCTCGGAGGAGGCATGGCACAGCAGTGCCACATGCCTAGTGGAAGGTAAGCCAGTCCCTTCTGGGGACTCTCGCTACGTCAAGGGCCACAGCAGCCCAGGGCCAAGGCCTCTGCTGAGTGACACAAGTGAATGCCCAGGGTAATATAAATGTCTTGTGAGCCAGGGACTCACAGAGGGACCACGAGACAGAGGAGTGTCCCTGCAGCTCTATCTCATCTCATAACTGACTCCAAAAGTGTTTCTGGTGAGCTGTTGCCAACTGATTTGGCCACAGTGACTTGCAGGAGCGCTCTGGATACCAGACTGGAGAACTCTGGCGCTGGTTATATGGAAGACTTGCTAGATACACAGAGCAGGAAACTTTAATGGGTTCACCATGAAGTCAGCAGGGCAAAAACCAGTGCCAGCCCTGGATCTTACCCCTGCCACTTCCACTTAACTAAATCTTGAAAGCAAATGGTTACATACCTGCTGGTTGCCAGTGATCCTGGCATAAATTTCCTCTAATGCCAAGTCTGAGATAGCATAAGACTAGTCTAGCAAGTGAAGGAGACCGTCTTCCTGAAGGGCAGCAAGTGAAGGAAGTAGAGACAAGAAGAGGTTGTGCTTGGGCATTGGAAGTGTAGGACTCCTACCTCTGAGCAGGGACGACAGTGCGTGGCTTTTTCGGAGTGGTAGAGACCAACTGCTCTTTAGATGCAAGGGTCCCAGCGATGAACTGAAAGGGGAGAGAAACCCATAGTGGGAATTAAAAAAGAAATTAAAGAAGGCAGGAGAGGATGGGAGGGTGTTTGAAAAGGCAGAGAAACCAAGGGAATGATGAGGACAGGAAAAGGGGAGTTTTAACAGCAGATGAAAGTGTTGTGGTTTAACCCCAGCTGGCAACTAAGCACCACAGAAAATGGTTAATGGAAGGAGAATGTAATGACAGAGAGATCATACACCGTGCTAGTGTTAGGGACTCTTTCGTCAGCTGTCTGTGCACCTGCACAATGTTTCTTTTCCCTAGCAGTAGAAAGGAGCTGGCAGTCCCCACCCAGCACCCCAGTCCCATGGGATCTTCTCAGAGCAGCTTCATGCAAATTTTTTCAGTCAGTTGGTGTGAAACTGCTGCCAGTTCCCCAGAGGAGTCACAAATATTCACCTGCCTTCCTGCAACACAGCTCCAGGCAACCTTGCCCCTGGCTGGGGTGGGGTAACCTGGGTTTCCTTCTAATCAAGAGAAGGTAACCTGTGAAATGATGGAGTCAAAGGGGAGCTGAAATCGCTGTCTCAACAGGGCTTTCATTTTAGTGTGTTGCATCCCACAAGGTGCTGGATGCTGAAAATTAAGAATGCGTTCCCTCTGCACCCTAGCATATCGGCATTTCACCGGGCACTCCTGGGGAACAGTATTCTCTGCCAAATCCCTGCTCCCAGATTCCTGCTGAGCAGAGGCATCCTCTTAACCTTCTCACTGGTTGGACAGGGAGGGTCATGACAGCATTTCGTTATTTCTGTTGGGTGGCCCTAATGTCTGCACTTATGAAGAGTCCATTGGAGGAACTTATTGCAGAAAGTAACTTGAAGCCAAGAACTGGATGCAGCTGGATAAAACAGCCTGTCTTATAGCCAGCTAGTTAGCTCTGCTGCTTCCTCACTCACTCATATTGTCTGGTGGATGGGAATGTGCAGGACTGAGGCAAGGAAGAAGTCTAGTGGTAAAAAAATACCAGCATGGGAGTGAGAGCAGAGAGCGGAGACAAGAAACTCTGTTCTTTAATATTTCTGTCACAGCAGGGGTTAGAGGCTGGCAGTGGGTTGGGATGTCGGTGTCCAGGCTGTGAAAACACAAAGGCTAGAAAAGAGCTGTGTTTTAAAGCCTTCGTGATATAAGGTGCTGTATGAAGAGAGACCTCACTGAGTTACTCATAGCAGGGTGGCGGTAGCTGACTACAGCTGGCTTCAGAGTTAGGCTAATGCTGAGCGTGTTATAATATAGGGCACTTCCCATACCATACTGCAATTACAGAAATATAATCTTTTCCAGGCTGACTCAGTTTAGCCTTAAATGTTATCTGGATCCTCCCGGACCATTACATGAACTGCCAAATACAAGAGCTAATGGACAGAACTGGTTAAGACTCTTAATTATGAAAGATGGTTAAGAATTTTTTGAGCACATGTGCTTTTGGATGGGGAAGGTCCTTCATCAAAATGGAAACTGTAGGGAAGGTTACTTTTGATGAAGCTCTTTCAACCTGAAAAAGCTGAGAAACTATTGATAATGTACCACCCCCAGTTTTACTGTGTTTTCTTATAACCCAACTATGGGTTCATGATGGTGTTGAAGCTTTTGCTTTTCACTCTAATTCACCATAGCAACATTTTAATGAAATCTTATACTGTGTTGGTAAACTTGCTTTCCCTTCCAGATCTGCCAAATGTCTATGTATGTGTTCATATGAAATTATTGATTTTTCATGTAAAGGTTTTGTCTGAAATTTTAAAAAGGGAGTCTTAGGTGGAGAACATCTTCAACTTAACAATTTACATGATTTGTAAAATGCAGCATTAAAATCCTATCTTGATACTATCCCAGACTGGAATTTGAGAGAGTTCCTCCAGACCTGTTATTTGTGTATGTTAGCATTAGTCCTTTTGTGCCTCCAACGCTGAGGAAGGAATAGGTGTGTCTGGCTTTCTCCTTTCAAGTTGATGGGGATTGTGCAACCTTTTTGTGGTGCCAGTTTCCTTATAGGCATTTGTCATAATGGGAAAAAAACAAAGTGTTCCCAAAGGTACATGCATCAATGGTGCAAACGCAGTCGAGCCAGCCCTTACTGATCCTTGAAGCTGGCTTGATCCATGGGCAATTAGAGTCACAGCTGCAGCAGAGGGAGCTGCTAAATGGTACATGAAGCATTTCTTCCCCATGTGCCTCTATGCAGAACAATAGTCCTTGTGGATGTCCAAAGCCACTATCATCTTACATCCAAACCCCACGGTTACTGCACCATCTGCCCTTGGCTGTACTGCCCTCCTCTTTTATGCATGAGCTCATCCTGTCCCCCTCACAGCTCCGAGAAATCAATATTACTATATTACTAGAAGGCACGATGCTTTTTGTTCACTCTTTCACGTTTCTTACAAGTCCTGTCCTGAAGCTTGTTGCAAGTTTGATGTTTTCCTGACCCTTTCTGTATTTTCCTAGGTAATTATCAGCTGTGCCCTAGACATGGGAGGTGCCTCCTAGTTCAACACTTATTTTAGGAAACTTTACTTCAAGCAAGTCTCTTAGCTTAATACCTCACCTCAGGGAAGAAAGCACTGGGAGAAAGAAGGGTGGAGACCCCTGGCCTTATTTGACTGTAATTATTAGCGTTATTTTCTGTTGCTGGCTTCTACATAGGTTTCTCTGTTAAACTAGGGACTGGTTCTAAGACACTGCATGAGCTGTATAATGTTAAAAGGTGAAGCTGGGTTTCACATTTAGGTTTAAGAAGCTGGGGTCACTTTAGGTTTCTCCGCTCTGGTGCTCTGAAGACAGAATACTGTGCTTTACTAGAATTCATAAGGAATCAAAAGCATCAGAGTTGTTCTGGGAGTTCTGCTTTGGCAAACGGCCATGCCATGGTTGCAGAGTCAAGCTTCTTTTCTCTTGCACAATATGTGAGGTGTCAGCAGGATTGTGGCTGGTGGGAGCCAGGTAGGGAGATACATGGTCTTCTTGATCAAAAAATCAATAAATAGAAGTCAGAAGGTGGTAAATAGAGCTACAGGGCTGAAAGGTATTATCTTCATGGTCTGCTCTGCATTGATGTTTCTGGGGTGATGGCAGCTGGGGATACCCTAGATGTGTGGAACACTTGATGTTATCAGGAAGATAAGGGACATGTCAGGAGTTGGTGAGTTGATGTGGAGACAGGCTTTCCTGAGCATCTAGCAGGACGAAGCCAGCTCTGTGGGGATCTGTAGGCTAGTAGGGAAAATTGGCTTTAATTTCCATGAGGGTGAGTTGTGCCATCTCCAGGACAACTGAGTGGCTGCTGGGATGTGTGCATCACCCTCAGCTTTAATGGCTGTTTCCATGAGGGACAGTCATTTGGCTTTGTGTGAGAATCCCCAGGCTCAAGTGGGTGGTGAGAGCATCTCTCAGGTTTCCACTGGGCAAATTGCTGCTTCTTTAACAAAGGGCCTTTGTCATTCTTGGGCATGTTTTACATTTCTTCTTGGAGATACATCAGGCATCTCCTTCCTGGTTTTCAAGTTTATTGTCTCAGCATTGACCTGGCTTTGTGCCCTCCGTAACTCTGCCTGTTGTGCTTCCAGTGATGTCAGGAAGAGTTTTTTTAATGACTTCAGTGGGAACCGGGTTAGATCAGCGCTGACCACTTTTGAGAGGCCCATGCAGAGAGCTCAGCCTAGATAGCATAGCAGGGGAGCCTCGCCTGCTCATCCCATCCAGCTTTGTTCTCTGTCAGATTTAATTAACTGAGCCATACAATATTTTGCATTTTCTCCTTCTGAGGCAATGCAGAAGTCCTGCATTTCTCTTGGACAGTGGGTCTCCACATGCTAGTAATGAGGATCTACCAGCAACAACTTTATTGCCCTGGTGAAATGCCAGCTTGGCATAACCCCATGAGTCATATTCAATGCTCTGTTCAGAGAACTGAAAGGACGACTGCTGCTATTAATTTTGTGCTCTTGTTCACAGCCTTAGGAGAAAAACATCGCTGCAGAAAGATCGGGGCTTCTCTGAGGTAAGAAAAACACACAGATAAACAGAGAGTGTGACTGTCAGCCCAGAGGATGTCTCTCCCTTGCACATCCAAATGCTCCTTTCCTTTTTGGTTCCCCCAGTAGTTTACTTGTAGGGCAGAGTACCTAGAATAAAAGTTTACCTCTAGGGCCTAGATGTCCCTGTAAAATACCATCTCTTTGCCCTTCAGCCCGAGCCTTTTCCCCTTGGAGTCCTCAGCCAGGGAGTTTCAGTCCCTTTGTGGCTCTCAGACCCCAGGCAGTTCCCACCACAGCCTGAGGTCCTTCTGGGAAGTCTGGTCTATAGATTTCTTCTCGTCATTGGCCTCATAGTTTCATCTCTGTTGGTAAGAAATTTTACAGCCTTCTTTTATTTCCATTACCCATAGCGACATTTCTAGATGCCAGTAAGCTCTTCTGGCCTGCAACATACAGCTCCATCAGCCATTTATGAGACTCACTGTGTAGCAGGGCTTCAGCAAATTAATACAAAACAGCTGGGCCCAAATTATACTTTGTACTTCATCAAGTGGGAAGCCTTTCCTTGGAAGAGGGGAACTGTGGGACAATGCCAAGGATACACAGCAGTCCCAGCAATGCCATCATTTCAAGAACAGACTTAGTAGAGATTTGATTTACTGCGACTTGATACAGCTTATGCCAGGGATCACAAACATTAAATAGGAATGAAAAGCTAGATTTTGTTTTTTTAATCAGCAAGCAGACATGCGGAGGTGAGATGCAATGAGTTCATATTTGGTTGTAATATTTTCTGGGATCATAATGCTGTCATTCAGGGTGGGGATCATCTTGTCTACCTGCAGCTGCCCAAACAATAGCTGTCCAGTCAGACCATGCCCTTCGGCTGCCTTGACAGTCACTGCAGAAAAGAGCTCAGCCAGAGGGTGAATTGTTGCCTCTTGAGATAGATGTGTGCGATAGGAGCCCCCACAGAATGAGTCATCCCATCAGTCTCTTTCCATTGATTATTGAGGGAAACTGGGTGGTGATCTCAGGATATGTCCTTAGTTTCTAGCAGCAAGACTAAGCCAAAGTGGTCAGAGTTGAGCACGATGAGATCCATCTCAGCTAACTCTGTTTCTAGCCTCATCTGTCTGCATACCATTAAAAAACCCAGTCCTCTCAAATCTTCACTGATGCATGCATGGTAAAGTTTGATGCCAAATGGTTACTGGCATTTTAGTGGAGTCATGCCAACCTGCACTCTGGGATGCAGTGGGACTCTGGGCCTTTTCCCGGTGAAAAGGAGATCTGTGTTTTCAATTTAGGGCTTCTACAACTTCTGCAGCTATGTGGCTTGGCTTGTGTTCAGACGGAAGCACTTCCAAGTGATTCGGGAAGAAATCGGCAGGCTGCTTTGCTCCGACATGTTCAATCCCACCTTAAGAGACAGGAACAACGTTGACTTGCAGAAACCAGGAGACTGGACTGCTGATGCAAACACAGTGAGATTCCCGTATCTGAGGTACACATTTGACACACTGGTGAGTCCTTAGGGAACCTGACCTGTCCGAATACACTGAGGTAACACCTGCATTCGTTTTCTTTCAAGAAAAGTCCATGCCAAGCATCCTTCCCTAAACAGCATGGTTCACCAGCGCTCGCCGGTGCTCAGCACGCTGCTGCCCTTACCGAAGGACAGTGCTCAGTACCTCTCCCAGAACCACTACTGTCGGGGCAGAGACCCTCGACCTTGCACGTGCGATGGCCTGCTGGACTTGTCAGAACTGTTCACTACCAAGTAAGGGGCTATTTCTCTGCATAAATAGATTTGGTAGGGCTAGGAGGAAGGGTGTCTGACAGCTAGCTCTTCCTCGCCAGGAGAGAGACCATTGGACTGAGGATTTGGTCTACACAGGAGTTAGAGAGGAACAGGACAGTAGGTCCCGAGAGACCTGAGAGACCCTGAAACTTGCAGAGGTAGTACTCTTGGTTAACTGATGGCAAAGCAGCTGCTGTCCATCGTAGTCCTTTGTTAAAACTCAAAAGTTTTCCGGGGAAAGGAAATATGCTTTAACATAAATTTGAACAGAAATCAATCAAAACTTCTCAAAATCAAAATGGGATGTTTATTTTTTTCCCCTTTCATGATTCATTCCAGTTTCTTATTTCTTCTTGACTTTTAGTTTTTAATATTTCTTCTTGACTTTTAGTTTTTAATATTGTTCAGATCAGACATTACTGATGTACTTTATTCCAAAAAAGTCATTTTGTTACTACATTGTACTTCAAAAATATAATTTTGATTGTAATAGAAATAGAACCTTTTCTTCTGATTCAAGATAAAACCAAAATCCTTCAAGCCTGGCTACACCACACGGGAGGAATTCCATTTCTCATCCAGCCATTGTTAACAGCAGTATCACTACAGTACTTTTTAATGTAATAACTCATGTAAACAGGACCACTGTAAATCAGTTTTGCTCTGTTGAAGTGTATGTAAGGCTCCCTGTTAGATGTTCCTTCATAAGTCTTTTTCTACCTGGAAATTAGAATTTGAGAATTTCTTTCATTTTTCTAATGAATGTTACAGCACTGTACATGCAAAATCTTTGGACATATCTACAACACACGACCAGCAAGTCTGGTATTTCTTGAGAGTGTGAAATTTGCTACAAATGCACAAGTAATTGTTTTGTGCATGCTTTGGAAGCTGGGTGCATCCTGAGCATCTTGGCTTTATAGCTTATGCAGAGAGTCATGTAATGAATATGTAATAGGGCCAACCTTTCCAGGGAGCGCTGAGCTTCACTTGGACATATACAATTCATGTTGTGTGCATGCACGCTCCAGAAAGAAACATGACATGGTGTGCAAGGTGCTGAGGGTATAAGCATGGTTATTTGTTTTTCCCTGGGGGAGAGCAGATATTCTCTGCTAAAGGAGGCATGATTCCTTGCTGGTTTACCTAGGAAACATTACAAATCTGTCCCCCTTTCTCCTGTTTTCCTTTGCTTCATTGTGTCAAGCAGATTAACACCATGTTTTCTAACAGGGTGGGCATCATTGGAGCTCATTGTAGTGAGTTAAAATCTCTTATGAGCATGCCTGATGGGACAATGGAGGAGGAGGAGGAAGAGGAAGAACAAGACCAAGGAAGAGTAAGAAGTGGTTTCTCTATCCTGACAAATGACCTCAGATTGCCACCTCTGAGAAGCCCCCAAAACAGGCTTAACAGTCAGAGCACTGTGGTCTCAAGAGCAGTGGCGGAAGGTGACTGTAATGAGAGCAACTAGCAGACGTATCTGTGATGAGTGGCACGATTTCACATTGCTAAATAAATCACTTTGAAACTGCAGCTTAAGAAGCCTAACTCACTTGTCAGAGGGGGGTAGTTCAGCACACAAGGGCCCTGACTGGGTGACTGCAGACCTGGACTGTAATTCTTGGTTCTGTCACTAACAATTCCTCCTTCATCTTAATGCCTTCATTGCACCATTTCTGAGAAGATTGTTTTACTGACTTATATTGGGAAGTGCTCTGACACCTGCAGATGAATATGATTATTGATTTTAATGTCAACCGTCTTTTTCCGAAAGGTTTAGCAAAGCAACCAGGAGACACGACTTACTACAGTCTCAAAGTTGCTGAAATTTTGCTTTTGAATGAAGTTACTCTGGAATCTTTAATATATTGTGTTTACTTTTTTTTTTTATGTCCATCATCTGTTATTTTGTTCTCAGATATAGCTAGCCTAATTTATGACTCATTGTGAAGTAAGTATAGCAAAGAGAAATGCTGTTATTTAAAATATCTACCAAGTCTTCATTTCATTTTATCTTTTTAGAGATATATATATTTATTTTTATCATTGATTTTACATGATTGGGAAAGGAGATCTTAGATGTTGAAACTTAAAATATGCAGTTGGGATGTCAGTGTCTTGAAACAAAATGAATTCATAGTGTCATTTTACCTATAAGACTATCTGTACATGCTAATCATTAGCATCATGAGGAGAATGTAGGATGAAATCCCGACTTTGTCATAGTCAATAAGAATCAATGAAAAAATAACGGACGATTAAACAGTGGAAGAAAACCAGAGAAGTAATATTTTCATCATTGTTAAAAGGAGAAATTTGACACGTTAGTGCTGGTTTGGAAGTTTTTCAGCAAAATATATCTATGCTGGATAAAAAAAATACAATTTCCCCTTGCAATGTGTGTTTCAGTTTTTAAAAGGATGAAATTTTGCAGCACAATTATGATGAGAAATTTACTTCTTCTGGAGTAACCAATAGTTCAGGGAGTAGATCACTTATGTGGGATGGCCCTGCACTGCCTTATTGAGACAGACACTTGAACTGCAGATTCACAGCTATTATTTAGTCTCTTCACTTAGACTGGCACATGTTATATTAATGCCTAAGTAGTATTGTGGCCTAGCCTTGTTTTCTATGTGTCAGGTGAGTCCTTTTACCATTGGATGAGGCTGTTGTCACCTGCGGTTTCTCTCTCAAGCTTTTCATTAGACATCTGTTCTGGTATAGAGCAAAAATATTTTAAAATAACGTCTTAGAAATTTTGAGGGATGGAAACCACATATTCTCTCCCAAAGGAGAAGAAATATAAAAGATATATTTAGAACTGTGTGTGAGACTGCTGTATCTTCCTCATAGATGTGATATGGAACGGTACACTCTTTATTCAAAATTAACATTTCTAGGTTATACATTCATTTTGGGCAGGGAGGTTAGTGCTCATATGGTCTGAAAAATGGTGACGAGACCTTGAGACGGTGCTTTAGTCGCAGGTTTTCTGAGAGCCTGTCTGGGCCAAGCATGCGCAACTGTCTTTCCCAGCTGCACGGTTGACTCCTGGATGGTACATACCTGGCCAAACACGCAAGAGGCAATTGCGGTATTGTTGCCCTGCAGCAGCATGGTTTCCCTACCGAATGATGCAGCAAGATGTTGGCTAATACCTGGAGCTGAGGGAGGGTACGGCACAGCTTCCTTCTCCTGGTCTTGGGAGAAACCTTTCAGTTCCTGCATTAGGAGACCTCTGTGTCCCGAAGGAGGGGTACAGCTTTGTCCCTCTAGCTGTGACACCAGGACCTCTCTGTTCTGGGGGTTGACATCCCGGTACACTAGTCCTTGCAAAAGCGCCTTGCTTTGTCATGGCAAGCAAACAGGCATTGTATGGGGCCTTAGAAAGAGTATGAGGGAAAGGCGTCCTTTGCCACATCAGTACTGCAGGGCAATGTGGACTGTGGTATGTGCTAATAACTGGGATTTGTGAAGAGTCCCTGCAGTGCCTGGGGCAGAGATTTCACAGAGTTGCCTATGGTGGGCCTGGGATGACAGGAGAAGACCAAAGGGTGGAGCACGCGCTCACGTAGGCAGCAAAGCTCCTGGATGCAAACAAGCTTTTTGTGCACTGTCACTTACCTACAAGGTCTGCGTCACTGCGGAGGGGAGAAGTGCTGAGCAGATGCTGGTGTTGCTCAAAAGCAGTCGATGAGCTACTCAGAGTGAGAGACAGTGTTCAACATGCTATGCTTGCCCTTCTCCAGGTACAAGGCAGGTTCCTCACAGTCTCCTTCAGGGAGCAGCCCCATGGGGCTACTTTCTCGCCATGAAATAGCGAGCAACAAGTGACTGCTTTTGGCATGCCGTGTTCCTTGGACAAAAGGCAGCTCCAGACCAGGCATGGTCTCGGTTATTTCTGTCTGCACCTAGAACATGCTGTCTGGCTCACTCTGCAGGATTTACCTGGGTAAAATCTAATGGTCCCAGTGAGCTCTGGTTTAAAACACTGTGATCGTCAGCCAAGCCCTCAGCCATGGCTTTGGGTCTAAGTTTTCTGTGGTATTCTAACAACAGCCTTGAACTTTCCAGAAAGGATTGAGAAATACCTTGAAGTTCAGATCCTTTAGTCAGCAGAGTCCTTTCCAGGGCTGCCTTCTCAGCGTTAAGTGTCTGCTTCTTCTGAGGTAATGTATGTCTAACACAGACAACCCATGCTTGTTTAAGCATGTAAGCAAGACCTGGCAGCCTTTCACACATGACAGTGAGTCATCCTTCCAGCAGGAGAGAGTGAGTCAGAAAGGGCAGTTGACAAGCTTTATTTATCAGTCTCCTGTTATTTGGCCCAGGAGAATTTTACCCTGAAAAACCCACCCTTGTTAATGACAGGCAGAGCTCAGACTTGTATCATACGACTACTGGCTTTTTTCCCACAGGCTTCGTGTGCAGTTTCATATCAGGAAATCACGGCAGGTTGCCTATTTCCATGAATTTTAATTTTTAAAGGGGTTCGGAACGTGCCAGCTATATTGGAATAACTTGTGTGAGCTAGGGTTACTATAAAGAGTACAAACTCAAATGCCTCTCCGTCATGAAAGGAGCCTGGGGGGTTCTGTGCAACAGCATTTCTAGAGTTCCCATTTACTTTCTTCTCTTAGCGCTGCTTTGCTCAGAGCCTTAAATGAATGCTGCTAGCATGGCCTAGTGTCTTGACTGGCTTTTGATTATGGTTCTGCCACTCATAGGCTCCGTATAGGGTGTGTCAGGTTTTCCAGTGTAAGTGTCTATTTTCAGAAGTTATATTGCTCTGTTGCACAAATTCATGCCAAGCAGAAAGTGGGCAGGAAATGTCACAACTCAGAAATGGAAAAAGGGACAGACACAAAAAAATGAAAATCTGCCTGATGATTAATTAAGGAAACTCTGCCCTTGGGGGTTTCAGGCTTTGCAGCTGGGAGAAAGATGGCGGGGGAGCCATCTAGATGTGGGGTGACCATAATGTGTAGTTGGGTGCCTTGAGGTACAGAAAGAAGCAAAATAAGCTCAAGCCCGTTCTACTTGTGTTGCAGGTGGTTTTGGAGCAGTAACCTATGAAGGCAGCATCCACATAGTAGCAGGGCTACAGGGCTCAGCAAGTTCTCTGTGAGCTGGCATGGCAGGACCTGGAGGTCTTGCAGGTTTCTTGTCTCTGGTCGCTCCGGTTCAGTCCTGTTCTTCTTGTCCTCTTGGGGGCCAGTGCCTGATATACATGGAAAGCCAAGGCAGTCTGAGCCTGCCCATTTTTCTGTGCAAGAGAGGCCAAAAGTAGTATTTCATCAACAAATAACAGGTTTTGTCCATTTTTGCTTGGACTCATACAGGCATTTTAGTAGTGTTAAGCTTCAGTGAGACCAAGGGGACTAACACTCCTATATGTGTTCAGGAACGCGGCTCTTTGTTACTATTAGCCAAGTGGGGACTCATTGGGTGCTGCAGTGGTGAAAGATGCCATCATGTTTCCTGATCCTGCCAGTGTCCCACCTCTGCCGGGGGGGGGGGGGAAATTTTTTTAGACCATCTTCTCTCCCCTCTCAGATAGGCAAAACATTCCATGAGTCCTTGACAGAGTTCTGAAGATGCTTCTTATTGCTCCTGTTTGTTCTGTGGCTTGTCTCCCTTGCCCTCTCAAAGCCAAAGCTGCATCTGCCAACCAACCATCCTTCCAGCCAAGGAGGACCAACAGCAGGTCCTTTGCACAGACAGCTGGCACCATCACCTCACTTGCTCCTCACCTGGGGATGGGCGTGTTCCTTTGTGATGCCTTTTTACCTGCAGGTGTGCTGGAGGAAAGAGAGCAGCAGTCAAACTGGAAATTGGACCAGGCAGTGATTTGCAGTAGGAAGAGAGGTTGTCGGTCTGGATTTCCTTAAGCAAGGCTTCCAAACGATGATATGTGTTCCTGCTCTGGCTGGGACAAAGGTCTCCATCTTGTAAACAAACTGCACTGGCAGTACCATGTACCAGTTACAGCTCCTGTGGCTCAGACTAAATAGTAAATGTTTGCAGTGAGATTTTTACAGCTTGAAGTGAAGAAACCAACTGCAATTTGCAGAATGTGAAGGTGTTCTTACCCTAGTTCTTCTACCATGTGAGAGAGAGCATTTAAAGGTTCAAAGAACAGGCTGTAAGTATACTGTCACCTGTTACAGCCTTTCTATTTGGAAGAGACACTGATAATATAAATGTAATGTATTTCTCCCTGTGATCTTGTTTATTTACGGAAGGATAAAGAGAGCCTTTTCCCCCTTCCTTGAATACAGTAGAAACAAACACAAACAAGTAGTTTCTGGACACACATTCCCAAGTCTGCCAGTCCTGACAAGGTCTGACCTCAAAAGGGTCCCCCTTTACGTGGCTCCTTGCTTTTCTCTCTCCTGTATCAAGCCAACGCAAGCACATCAACCATGACCATGTCTAGGCAAGCAGGGAAGTCCCTGACTTTGTGAA